ACGGTTCATACAGATGTTCGTGCCCCAAGGATTATTGAAGACGAAAAATCGAAGGATCTGAATTTACTTGACTGTCCATTACAGTCAACCACTATTCGGGATACCAAGCAGCTGTATAATTACCGTTATTTGCATGGGGAAACAAAAACCAGATCTAGTATCGATCAAATTCAGGACGTTATCCTTAACCTCCTTGAACAAAGATCCACTGCTGACGAAATGGACCTTGATTTGCTTGACAAAAATAAAGCATTCGTCAGAGAATTCCTGTTAAGACACGAGAAGCAAGCTTGTTTTGTGGCATATTTGCAACAGTCTGACAAATATAGAGCGCTTCTCCACAACATCAGCAAATCCCAGGTTTACTACGCCTTTGGCTTTTGACACTACATTTAACATTGCAAATCATCTCGTGACACAAACGACCTACAAGCAGATGTCAGTAATTGGAAGAGAGAGTTTAAGGAATCCCTGGTTTCTAGGTCCATTTCTGATCCATCGAAATCAATCAGCGCAGGATTTTGCACATTTTTGGCAAGCAGTGAAAAGAGGGAATCCGGCTCTTGCCAACATCCTTTCTTTTGGTACAGATGAAGACGAAGCACTTTCTAGCGGGATTCTTAAGGAAACGAGTGGAAAGACCATCCACCTTTTGGGCAAAGAGCATGCCCAAGCAAATGTAGATAAAAAATTGCAGTCGTTAAATTTTACTTCAATCCAAAAAAAATTATAGTGAGTGATATTTTCGGGGGTGCCACGTGCGAAGAAGAAGATTCTCTTTACGGAAGCGAAAGTACTGATATTTACAACCGTAAGCTATTGCAACTGAAATCAAAATGGCTTCAAATAGAAAAGGAACACACCAGCAATTGTCCCGCGAGTCAGTTCGTCGATTATTTTGAAACTTATAAAGAGAAGCAAATTAGGGACAAAATGATTAAAAAAGTTCGAAAGCAAGCTTCCATTGACGGAGTGTACGGCCAAAATCAAATGAGTGGCAAAACGTCTTATCAAAAGATGAAATATCCGCCCACGTGCGTTCAGAGGGTCGTAGTCATCGAGACCCGACACTTTCAGAGTGCCTATAGATGCCTTGAAAGCACGCAGTATCCGTTTATTTAGCAATGTTGTCAAAGCCATATATGATTATGGTCCTTACGTCCTAGCACCAGCCTACCACATGTTTCGTAAAACATATGCCGATTGGAAAGGCATGTCACAGGCGGACGAAAGATGCACATCGCAGCATTCATGGCTTACATTCCAACCGACGATGTACTCTTGCGCTCCTGAGTTCGAAGTGTAGAAAACAAGGAATCCATTCCAACTATTTCCCTGTTAGATGACGAAGCACCTGGTCCATCTACGTCAGCACGTAAACAAGATTATCTTCAAGTGTCACAACAAATCTCGAATTCTCCTCAACCAAATTTCTGCCATCGGTCCAAGCCACGACGTTCTAGACAAACCACGACGCACGCTTTCCGTATCGCTTCAAGACGCCTTCGGTTCTAAATGTTGTTTTGCTTCCTCACCTCTTACAAGATGCTTTTAATAAAGCCGAAGAACTGTTAAACGAACCCAACTCCATCACTAAAGCGGCTACAGACGATGATCGTTTACGCACAGTTAAAAGCCGCTATGGATCCGTACCATTGATTGTTAATTAAGCCATTCCATAAGAACAGAGACCTCTTTCAGTGTACCTCAAAGGTCTATAAGGCATTAGGAATGTGCTGTGTTGCCTTTGCCGTCGCAGATGAGGTCGGAGTTTTCTGCAATTACCTTTGTGAACTAAGAAAAAAACTTGGCAAGCGAAAGAAGAGCGCTGGTAAAAAAGCTGTCAACTTAACAGCAGCTGTCCAATCTGACTTAAGCTCTTCGCTGAAAGATCACAAAAAGAACGAGACCCAAAAACTTTCACAAAAAGACCGGCTACAAGTGATGAGTCCTCTCCCACTGGACCAGTAAAACAACCCAATGTGCAACAATCATTGCCCACGAACACGCTTGCTGAGGACAATTTCACCCGCATTTACCCTCCATTCTTGTAAACGGAATTTTTATTTCAGCCTGCAAACCAACGTGTCCTCACTGATGCACACTCCGCCATTTTCAGCCAGCCTAGCATCGGCATTCCGCAACCACATCGTCGCCAACAAGTAGTTTTAATTTACAGCAGCAAAGCAACGCTAGCAATCACATTTTGATTCCTGGAAGTCCCGCATGTCCCCATACCGTTAAGAATTAGTACTTCTGCCAAATTCCGTCAGAAAATGCTTTGGCTGTCATCAGGAGTTCACTTCAGGGTACCGAATATCACCTAATAACCTGATCATTAGGTATATCGACAGACGAATCACCGGGCGTGACCATATAGGGATCGTTGACATTTAGTCCTGAGTTCAAAACTACGTATTACCATCCTGACAAAGAGCACATTATGGTGAAGAATGCTGCATTTGATGGTCGTGTCTTCATCCTTTCATTCTGTCTCAGATGCTTTCACCTGAGCAACTTCATGTTGTTAACAATTTAAATCTTAATGTTAAAAACAGCTAAGTAGTCAAGTTAAATGGACATTGTAATGCTCCTCAGTATTGCAAAAAGTAAAGTCTGAAAAGGTGGGGGGGGGGGGTTTACAACATTCAGTTATTACGTTGATATGATTATCGTATGAGCCATTTTCCATATATACTTAGTGGGTCGCGACTCGACCCAGTACCCTGCTCGATTGGGAAATGGCTAATTGATTACGCCTTAGACAAAAAACTGTAGTGTTTGGTATAAGATTAACTTAGATACGATGTCAATCATTGTTTTAGTTATAAATTTACTCGTTTAGCATCACCAATCTTGGGAGCTTTCATTTGAACAATTTTGTTACCTAAGGCCAACCTCGTACCCACGGTCTTTCGTAGGCTTTCCTGGGGGCAATTTTGGGGGAAAGCACTGCAATGAAAAGTGCCCTGCGGCGGAGGTTCACCTAAGGCTAGGCTAACCTGCTTTGATCTCTAAGAACCAGTCACTGATGATTATACTACAATCTTCGACAAAGTCGTATGCGCATTCTTTTCTTTTTATATGTACCTAATCCTTGTTCCCTCTAGCTGCGAAGTTGAGTTTAAGTCATATTAAATTTCCCGCATAACATAACTTCACGTTAGTAAACTATTTTGTTCGAGATTGTAGTAACCACTAACCAGCCTCAATCTTAAATAAGTCCGAGTTAATACTTTACTATAATAAAGACTAACTAAAAGATGCCTCTATAGGGTCTAGTTGTGTTTTTGTTTAAATGAGTTCAAATATTTAAAAAAATTACTTGTGTTTGTGTTTTTCTTACTCGTTTTCATAATTTTTGGGCTCTTTTTGACTCGTTTTCGCTCGTGTTCATGATTTTTTGACTCCTGTTCACTGTGTTCATGATTTTTGGACTCTTGTTCGCTCATGTTCATGAATTTTTGACTCGTGTTCATGATTTTTTGACTCGTGTTCATATTTCTGGAGTCGTGTTCTGACTCGTGTTCATCCGTAATCCACTTATACCTAAAACCCAAGTAGAACGATTCTACAAGAAAAGTTTTCATGGTTAATCTATTTCTTGTGTTTATTAGAAAGGTAGACAAATTAGAAAGGCAGTTGCTACAAATCACTTGCTGAGTTTTGCAAGGGAATTTCTCTTCCAAAACAAGGCTATATACATACAAGAGGGATGGAAAAATAAAATGCATGGGTTCAGCATAGACTATAGGCAACCAACACCGCACATCTTACCACATTTATCGTGAGAATTCCCAACAAACTGCTTAGAAATTTTTCACAGGATAACAGAGAGCTTTTGTTTATCTATTCTTCTCGAATGTCATAGTTATCGTGCGTTGGCTATATAAAACAACAGAATTGGTTTCGATAAAATTGGATCCTGTTAACATGCAAATTTCAAAGTTGGCTGAGTTTACGTATTTCGTTTCTTGCATCTATCTAGCTCGGAAATTTCGCCGCTATATTCTTAACGAAATACTCTATTTTAAATTTAACTATGTCCGGTCTGACCATTTTGGCCGCTTAAAGGAAAGCCCTGTCTTTACCTACATCAGAGCACACAACATGTCGACAGCGGCGTGAGTCACGACTTCATTATTCCTGTTCAAAGCTTTCACAGTTTTCACACCAGCCTTCTCACGGAAGCTGAAAAAGCAAAAAAGAAACACGGTCTAGAAAGTGAACTGGTTGAGTAAACAGCGTGTGTTGTGGTTAAAGATAAACGTTTCTCACCTAGTGAGCGTTGTGAAAGCGCGAACCTGCTTTGGATCGAACCCAACGTCTCAAAGCGTGAAACAGCGCTTCGAGATCTTTATCTGATATTTTGTTTTGGTCTCCTGCAAATAGACAAAACTTTTTAACTATTTTATGTATATAATGAACACCTGCGAAGGTAATCCCAGCTAACACAATTACGTTGTAGCAACGTTGTACGAACGTTTGCCGAACGTACACACTACGTTGTAATTAACGTCGTTAGAACGTACTTTTGTGAACTCCCACGAACGGATTAAACACGTCGGGATTGACGTACCAGTTTTACGTTCGTACAACCTTCGGTCGACGTTCGGACATTTATACAACGTTCATAGCACGTTTCTGGAACGTTCCAACAACGTACAGTGAACGTTCACTTAACTGTTGGTATGAAACGTCCTCATTAGTTTGAAAGGCATTTTTCAGACAAGTCCTTGAATTATCAAATTTCATGCAATATATGCATGTTAAAAATTTTTATCTTGCTTAAATTATTGGTCAACAATACAACATGATGTACAGGATAGAATGCAATTTATTTAAATAAAACTTAACTGTGTATACATGTATAAAATTAATACGAATCAAACCATTTACAATATTCTGTATTATATATATATGTATATCATGCCAAAAGGCCTATCTACATGATGCGATTAGTCGTATGCGATTCATATACCGGCGTATGTATTCGAGTAAATACGTGTGTAAAGATGTCAAATTTTAAATTTCGTTTTAATAAACTGAGGAACAGAAAGACTGGCATCAGCAATCGTTTTCATACGTCTGGATAAGAATCGCATACCACTATAATCGCATCGTGTAGATAGGCCTTAGATAAAATGTACACCATAAAATAAGTTATGCACTTCCTTGCTCCTGGTTCCTACGATCCTGCAAAGAAAAAAACGCAATAAATGTTAGGTATATGTTGGACATATAAGCCCTTCAAATTTATGGTAATATGTCAAACATTAATTAGAGTCTATATAAGATAATTTTCATATACGGACCGTAAGACGCGCGTCTCCTGTATATGTAGTTTGCACCTTACTAGTGGCTAGTATTAGAGTTTGAAAATTCGATTGTGACAAAGATTGTGAAGAGGTCCGCATTGCTGTAATGCGAGCCTCGTACTCTAGCAATTATAGAGGTGAGTTATAGTTACCTTGTATCTAGAGCCACCGGATTTCTGTGGAGCATGCTTCAAATACTCTGCAATTTGTTCCTCGATGTCTATTTCACTTACACCTTTGTGAACACGTAGACAGGCCTCTATAATTAAACAAAAATAGAACAATTATAGCTAATTATCAGAAAGGGTTAATAGCAATGAGCCAGTTGTTCGAAAGGTGGATTAGCACTAAAGCACCTGTACAGTACATGGGTACATTCATCACCAAACAGAATACATTATAATTCATTATTTCCTGGTAAAGCCTGGCAAAATATCATGGGCCAAACAATAATGTACAAATATACTATGCTATACTTACTGATAACAATTTTCGAGACAGCAAGTTCTTTAAATGCCCGCTTTGCTTTTCTCCCCTTCAGACTATATAATGACCACAGCTTGTTTGTTCCAACCTTAGCCAGGATTCTTCTTGTGCTAACACCATGGTTATGCCCACACAGAGCAAGGAAGAATTGTAACTACAAGTAAAATATTTATATTAATTAATTTATCGTGAACAAAAACAGTACGTGGCAGAACAAATGGCAAACCAGGGTGTCTGCATTATGCTCATTACCATTTTTTTCCTAGCATCTTCATCTGCAAGTCGATCATTAAGGTTTTCCAATTCCTCAACTGAGTCCAGAGGATTGGGAATAATATCCTCAGCATGTCATTTCCACTAACACCTCTTGTGGCACCAAGTACTACCCGCAAAATTGATTGCTTCTTCTTGTTTTTTCAGCATTATATCAAGCTTCGTCGAACAGATCTTTGAAAGCCTAATGACATTTTAATGTATTTATACTATTAATTATGTAACTTTGTTAGGAATGGATGACCAGCTTTCTTGATATGCAAAATGACTACAGAAACATAAATGCACATATATTAATTATACATTACGTGCATAATTGAAACAACATATCCACAAAACAAAAAATCAGACAAGATCTCATGGACTCTAAAGAAACCACGCCAACTTACTGTCGTGATCCTGATGTAGAGAGTTGCGATTGCCTGATTTTGGTGTTTCAAAAGAGTCTGTAGTTGCACCAGAACCTGACAATTGAGAAGAAAATTACTGAAAATGCAAAAGTTTAATTTGACTCTGAACAATATAGCGCAATGTTCTAGATAGTACCCATATGTACACTGGCCATGTTTTATGACAACACTATAATATGTGATAAACACATGTGTTTTAATAGTACTTAAATTTTGTCATGGCTTCACAACATGACCCGTTATTGCAGCAAGAAAGTGTTCAGTATAGACAAAATATGCAACATTAAGTTGAGCACATTTTTATTCCTTGAAGCTATGTCCAGATTTGAAATAGTGATTTCTTCTTTAGTAACTGTTTGAGAAAGACTACCACTACATAAAATATTTCTCTTTGGCAAAGCATAACGAAATCAAGTATACATACTGAATGCTGGCTTCTTTCACATGAATCCTGTTGCCTTCAGGAGTTCCAACAGCTGTTTGATAAAAAATAGCCTCAGTCTGGCCTAGCATATGAATTAATGACTCAACGTACATACAGTACACTGTACAATAAAAGCTAGAAAATCAAATGGAACATTCTTACTTCCATGGACATTCTGTACACCAGAACTTAAACTGGTCCTAGATGCATCAGTGAGAGGATTGCTCAGGGCACTAAAAATTTCTGAATATCAACAAAGTATAAATTAATACAACAGCAATAAAAACGTTTTAACTAAAAAGTATGACCTTATTTAACTACTTTCAAAATATCAGGCATTAGAAAGACGATTTTGCGAATTATTCAAAAGAATATGTGATTTGCACTGGTCATATTTAATTACACATAAAAACACATTCAATGCTTACCACTGGGATTTAAAGAGAACACCTGATTGACTGCATTTACAACTGAACCATCTTGAAGAACATCATGATGACCCAGGCTATTGCTCACATCGAAGGTTGACAAACCCTTTCTCTGAGCCATGGGCAGACTCATTTCATTCGATGGATTTGATGAAAAGCTCGGTGCAACAGGGAGCAATGGTGTAATAACTGGGGAAGATGATGTAGGGGCTGACTTCTTTTTCCCATTTTTTGAGATATCTTCATCCGCTAAAATGTAAATGAGAGAAACAACTATAACCTCAGTTGCAGAACAATATAAGTGCTATACACCACACCTGGTCATGATTGAGAACACTTTTTCTCAGGGCGAAAATCCCATCCTTACTATGTAAGAAATATAAACCTAATGCCCTCAACATTTCAACTACAGTAGCCTGTTGAGCAATACCAAAGAACTTACTATCACTGCCTTCTGAATATTCAAATAAACTGGCTTTTGTGCGCCTTCTTTTTCTTGCATGGCCAGAATCTGAATCGGATTCAACATTTGATGTTTCTTCAGCCCTTTTCAAAATCTTTTGTGCTTTTGCTACTGAATCTAATAATAATAAACATGGCATATAAAACTCTAATTGGCAATTTACTTGTCAGGGCAGGTGTCCAGATAAAGTGTTAAAAAGTGCCATTACTGTAATGGTTGGAACCTTCAAAAAGCTCCCGACACAATTTTCAAAGCTATTAAAAACAAACCTGTATATGAGAAAACTCTGACTTTATAAGCAATCCAAGTTTCTTTGTCTGGAATCTCGAGCTTCCTTAATTTATGAGATGCATTATTTCGTGGCCAGTAGCAGTATAATTCCTAGAATGACAAGTTTTGTAAACAAAAATACTGTTAAACTAGAGTATTTAGCAACATAAGATCATCATGGAATGGTCTATTTAGGGTGTTAGCAAGTCAAAAATTTGGCATGATACATGTACCCTGTTTTCACAACCAAATCTAGCCAGCAATTATCACAATTTAGAAAAAGGAAACTGGGTAACACCCAAGAACTATTCTGCAAGTGAACAAAATTCAACAAATTCTAACTACTTACACAATCAATTGTCTCAATCCAACATGTTGCAACAATTTCCACTAATTGTTCCTCTATAAATTCAACGACAGCATATATGTTGTTTGCCATCTATAACAGAAACAATAATTAAACAAATTGCATAATTTTTTGGGATTTTAGAGGTGCAGAATTATAATTAAAACCAGTACCTTCAGTGCAGAGTGCTGTTAGTATTTTGTGTGCAATATAGCCATGAATATAATTTTGTCAGGGCCAAGATTAATTTTTATGGCTTTTCTCTTGAGATCTTTGGAAGGCAGTAGTCTCATATTTGTCCAGCGTTGGTTAGCCTTGTAAGCACCAATGAGGCGGGAATCACATGGAGTCATGAAGATGGATTCAGTTTTGCTATAAACTCGGCATTGAAATAATTCATCCCCATTGTGATCATGATTGCCAGTCTTATCTACTACTTCACAACATGATGATTCAGACAAAATAAAAACATTATCTGGATTTTTTACACTGACTGCATCCTCATCTACAAGTTCAATGGAACCAGAGTGTTCACTCATGCGTTTTGCAATCTGTGCAATTGGACTCTTCCCTGATCGCACAAGACGTTTCAACTTTTGCATGTAGTTTTCAAATGGGAAAGAACTACACGCGTCTAAACTTTCAAACTCTTCAACCACATCTGCCAAATGAACCATACTATGCACATTATATACCAAAAACTCATCACCATACAAACATTTGCCTTGCTCAACAAAGTATTCCATGAGTTGCTTCGCATATTCCCTGTAAGTCTTAGCTAACATAGGGCACACCAAAATGCAGCTAGCAACGCTAAGAGATAAGAAGTGCTCATATAAATCTGGTCTTAGGATACCGGATAGAACAATTTTTCCAGTATACAAAAGAAATTGCCGAAACTCAGTGGCCTTCCACCGATCAATTTCTGCTAAGCTCCGTGGCTTACGTGCAAATGTGCTGGGTATGGAAGACTTGACCTCTATCAATTTAGTACTGATAGACTCCGCCTGGCCAGCCGATATCTTAACTTCTCGCTTTCCTCGTAACCATAGCAGAAGCAATTTCTTCATGACGCCCAGACACAATTGATGCATGTAGTCAATCGGAAATTTCTTAATCATATCAACTGGCAATTTACTGAAGGGACTAACACCATTATGATGCCCTTCATGCACTTGTTCTCTAAAAGAAACATCTGTCCGCAACTCAACATTTCTAATCAGAGAGTACACGACCAACCCATATGCCCTTCTGTGCACATTTATCACACCCAAAATAGCCAGAACACAACTTTGTGCCTTTTACAAGGGCTCTAGCGGGAGCATCACAAACTACACATCTTAAACAAACTGAAAGAACAGTTTCACCGTCTTGGAGCCCATTCTGTAGAAGATTATTCAAATCTCCAATTAGGTCATCCAAAAAATCCAAATCAACTGGTTTGGAATTACCACAGGTTAAAACCACTGGGAAAACAACTACAGGTGTGATATTTACAATGGCACATAATACTGGCCATAAACACTTCCTTGAACTCTTAAATAATGGAAGACCATCAACATTCAAAGAAATTTCAAGAGAATTAGTCCTAGCAATTATGTCTGAAGGATATTTCTTAAAGTGTTTCAACAATTGATTAGCAAGGGGAAAATAAACATATTCCATTCCAGACTTTTCCTGAATGGTGATATTTCTGGATGTGTGCAGCAAGGCACGAGCAGTAAGAGGCAAGTTTGGATGCCCATTCTCTTTCAACACAGAAAGAAGACCATCAAGTGCATTATGTTTTATCATAAACCTATTAGCCCAATTGGTTAAGCCTTCAGCAAGAGAATCATCTAACAAATTATCATTCTCCGAATCTGATGAAGAAATAGAGTTATCATGCCAAGTCTCATCCAAATTTAACCTATCATGATTGCTTAAGTGATTTTCCACAACAGAGGTGCAGATACGTTTAACAGGCTGCTGGTCATGATCATCTGACACAGTTACAGTGTCATGGTTCGGGGGTGCTGAATCAAAAGGTAGTTCAAATAATTCAGTATCATCAACTTCAACTGGAATGGGAGCACTAGTACGTTTTAAACTACGAGCTGCAGCAGTCCAGTTCTTCCTATACTGTGCTCGGTTTGCTTTCATTTATGAAGCTGCAATAAACAACAGAATATAATCACTCATTGCTTTTTTTTTGGTTTGAGAAACTACCTGCAGTTGAAATTTTGCAGTGATGTTTAGAAATATGAAAGTTAATTAAGTCTATCATAAATGTAGGTATACATGCAAAATATACAATATGAATAAAACATAAAATATTGAGCAGTTCTAATTGCAAAATCGACTTCTGTGTGACAATTACTCATGATTCCACTTCTCTTTGAATGTATTTCTCTATATTCCCTGTTTAATTAAAATGACTATGTCAACTACACCCCATGAAAATTCAACACAGTTTGTGGGTGCAACAAAACTTCTGACAAACTTAAAACTTATTTGTTAAATATATTATTCACCAGTAATTACTTGAATCAAATACCTATTTTAAATATATTATAGTCATACAACTATTCAATATTAATGTTACAGCATTCAGAATAATAAAAAATGCCAAGTATATGATGTAGTCATGCTGTAGGATCTATTATTGTGCATTCTTATGAAGGATCTATATATTATGGTGCAACAAAAATTTGTTTTAGTTTTAACAAGATTGATTAATTATCAAAACCTGCAAACTGCAAAATCTATACCATGAATTTGTGGTCACAGCTGGCAAATGGGTTGTGTTGCACAAACATTGAAACTTTAAATATCAAGTTCAAATTTTAAGTGCACACAGGTATCACAGTGCCATACTACATGTAGGCCTATATACATGTAGGCCCATATATATAAGGGCCTGCTCCTGCTTGCTGGGAAATTGTAGTGTGTCAACTCTCATGCTTTTAACATACTGTATTTTTTCAATTACCTTAAAAAGCAATTTGATAATTAATGAAAAAGATTTAAGTGGAGCATTTTAGAGGTAATAAGTTAAAATAAGCAAATTTGAGCACAGCAAACATTATTTCTTACATACTGTACATGATACATTTATGACTATATCATGTATGACTGTATGACTATAACAGTGGATATCAATTTACTTTTTTTTGAATAAGCTCTTCAATTATTAAACATATAAAAAGATAAAAGAGAGACAATTTACACCTTATCTAATGTACTAGAGTAACATAAATTATTTATACTTGATTGAATCAGACCAAACTGGCAATTATTGATGGATTGAACTCAACCGATTTCAATCCTTCTTAAAACATGCCCATCCGTATTTTTGGAAAGGTGTAATATCTTTTATCTTCCTTTAAAGTTTAAACTATGATTTAATTATTCTATATAAAGCCGTTTAATGAAACGATAACTGTTTATAAAGGATGATGAAAACCACCATATGGCGGCCATCTTAAATGCAAATATTAACATGCCTAAAAATCTTTCCTCGCAATATATGTAAATATTTTCATACACATTAAATTACTAGCTAGTAAGAATATAATCCCGTGCTTTTGGGCTTATATTCTACACAAACGTTCTTTGATAGAACCTCTAAAATCGCTATACTTTCGCAATATTAAATATGATAATTAGTGAGAGCTATAAACGTATATGATCGTCTTGGTATAAATATTTATAAGTCTTATAAATCTAGTATTCTCTGTATATAGGTAACATAATTATACTTACTTTAAAATCAAGCGACAATATCCGTAACAAAATCTTCTGTAAATAATACGTATGACTCCAGCAATAGCCAAGACAGAACGACAGAACACGCTTCAAACAGTAAAAATTTTACAGCGGGAAGAGACGATCAAAGACGAACACGCGTTCAAAGTTCAAACAGATATCACGTGTCACTATGATATATATATATATATATATATATATATATTCGAAAATGGCAACGTTGTATCTACGTTATTTGAAGGTTTATGAATACGTTTTGCTTTGACGTCGTCTCGACGTTAACAAAGGACGTTGCACAAACGTTAAATAAATACCTGTGTCACACGTCCAAGTTCTACGTCGCTACAACGTTATTAACACGTATAGTAATATCGCGACGGGAAAACAACGTCGTGGGAATGTCGTGGTTTAGTTAGGTCTGACCTGACATTCCCAAAACCTTCCGCTAACGTTGGGATTACGTTGTGTGTTAGCTGGGATAGCAGTCAGAATATGTATATTTTAGGGTTGAACACTAAATAATTTATTGGCAAAGATATACAATACCTTCGTGAGCAATGAGCATTGTGATGGCATTAATAAAAAGTCTTTCTTTTTTCTCCGAGAAAAGTCGCTAAAAAATATTTAAAATCGTTTGAAATATATATTGGAGTTTAAAAGACTTAATTATTTTTAAGGAGTACTATTAGTGTTTTGTGTACATTTCTGTCAGAACAGTAACATGATAGGGTATTTGTATTAAGGCCATACTCTTTGCCTTTGGCTATATTGGATAAACAAGTTTAAATGTACCGTGTTGTTTGGAGACGTTTTGAACCTTGTTAAATGTTTTCAATTAGCAGCTGAAATGGTCAGATGTTTTCATATAACATAATTATGTAGCTTAGCAATCGTTTAGTTTAAACTGAAGGCTGCTTTTCACCTACCCGTTTTTTATACGCACGTACACATACGGAAAATTTTAAATGCTTATAAATTTGTATTAATTAAGATGCATCTAGTTCAACTAATGCATACTAAATACGCAGAAAACTAAGTTCCTTCGATTTATTCACTTAGTTTTTTCAAAGGTAACATGTATAAGGATTTAGATTTTTACGTGCGTGTACGTGCGTATGAAAAACACGTAAGTGGAAAACAGCCTTATTCCAGATTTTTCACAGAACATTAAAACTCAGTGAAAATACAATAATATTCTCTACACAGGATTTTGTCTGCAGAAAAGTACAAAATAAGGAATTGTCAACTTACATCTTGGGTGATTGCATGAAGTAGACCGCTGTAGGAAATATTGCAGTTAAATCTGAACACAGCTTCGGTGAAATTTCCTGCAAGGAACCAGTCATAAGACAATATAAGCTTTTGGAGGTATTGGAAGTGGAGGAAGTGAAAAAAAAGAGGAATATTTCACCTGGAGACGCAGCGAGGAATTTTAAGTGACTGCTTTCTACTTCTTCAACAACAATATACAATGGACCCCATCGGTAACCTTGAAAATATATAATCTTAAAAAAAAATTCTTCTTTTGCTGTATGTGATGTATTGAACTGGCTGATAGGAATAATGCTATTGGCTGATACCTGACGAGAAGTGTAATTGTTGGTGTGTTATATGACATCACATATGTCAGCAGGAGAATGAAATGAGGGATCGTATTTAGGGTAATCATTGCAGTACGAGATTTTCATCAGGATAATTTTGACCATAATTTTCGCTCAATCATCTATGAATAAGCGTACAGTACTTCTCTTCGTTGGGGTCGTTTTTATGCAAACATCTCTGTTTCAACTGGCTCTAACACCGTATAGCAAACCAGATAATAATGTGTCCCTAGATTGAGTGAAATACAAACATTCAAAACAAGAAATATTTTTTATAGCTTCATACAAAATTTGCTTTCTTACACTACACGGTCAGGAGACGAGTAATTTCTCAGCAGACCGCTTGTGTATTCCAGCCTGAACAACTGAGGATGGTTTCGATAGCGAATTATTGAAAATACCTGACAGCAAAAGAAGTTTGAAAACTATGATATACTATAATACACAAGTCTCAAGGACACAGTATATTCTGGAAAGTAACTGCAAAAATAAAAGTATTTTAACTCTGCTGGATACTTTTTGCAATTGGACATGTTGAAAATGGAAACGTGAAATAAAGAAGATGATAAAAGCAGTAAACATCAATCAAGGTCAGAAGACATGGAGTGTTTGGGGTGTTTGGAGTGTTTTCTTTCACGGTCAGAGATGAACAATTACTGGAACTGACATGGAATGTCGGATGACTTACTGAGCTAAGGGGATGAAGGGTGACGATGTTGTACATCGTGGGATCTCTTTCCAAAAGACACATTTCTGAGAAACGCAGCGTTCTTTGAACAGGATCCTAAATTTGAGAGTGTAAAAACGATTTTAAAATGAGAAAAAGGATAGACTCTTAGAAGAATTTTAGTAACAACTTAACTCACTTTACTCCGAGGAGTTTCTCTATAGACGCTGAATTGTGACATTGATGTGATATGTTCGTCATCACTGAAACGAAAAATTTGTCATTTACTATCATATCTCACATTCTTTACACAGGACAAACTAAATACTGTCCTAATAATATATCATTCACCTGTATTTTCCAAATAAGTTTTTAAAAAACGACTCCACTTTGATGGAACCTTTTCTTCCGCCTAAAACCGAGGCAAAATAAATAACAAATACAGCTCAAAGTAAATTACACACCTGGAAAGAATTTTTTCGTAAATAAATGAAGTAACCTGTATGTAAGTAAATTTGTCATTTACCTAAAATGTGTTTGACACCTGGCTAGAATCATCTGCACGAGCTTTGCTATCAGTTGATGAAGCCTGGAAATGTCAAATACGTTCCTAAGAGCTTTCACTAGAAGAATATTAAAACTTGGTCGCTCTTGCAAATATATTTTGTTGTTTAAGCATGAATACGCTGGGAGAGAGCGTATGCGAATTTAAACAATGATACTGAAAGCATTTTCCTTACCTGACTAATTGAGGCCTCATTTTTGTTTCTCTTAAGCTCAGCTTTTAAAACCTCAGGCTCCGTGCCTTTCTGCAGTGAATCATCTCCCACGAACACTTTTTCTGCCGAACAATATGCGCATGACATGTTCGAAGTTGCCCGCTTGTTGACTGTAACCGTGATCAACACATTGCCAAGCAACCAACTTCTTGACGCTCCATTGTGCAGGAGTCGTTCAACAACTGCAGTTCTATAAAAACAACAAAATAGTCATCTTCCCTGAAACACAGTGCAGAAAAATACGAAGCCAATATACAGACGTTTTTGGTTGGGTCAAATAAGAAGAAAATGTATATTTGACCATCATATCAACCACGATTTCCTTCATCTCTGAACTAAGTGTGTTGCTGTAGTCTTCTTTTGATTTCTCAAGGGAGTTTGGGGGTGACTGGAATTTGGTGGGGGGATTAGTGACTTTAGGGTATGGGTTTGCAGCGTCTGAAGATATATCTGTGTTGTTAAGACTCTAAAGGAATACAAGGACATATATTTTAACAGAGTTTTCAAATGATTGAAAACGAGCTTCCATATTACCAAAATTATGTAACATGAAATGGACAAGTTTATGTAACAACACTGACTAAGCTGTATAAAGTTTAAAGACCACTTCTTAATATCTATTGAAAATTTAGCAAGCAGTCTCCGTGGCAATAAAATGAGATGTGGACTTACTTTTGTAATAAATGGCACGAATTGTTTTCTTAACAACAGTGGACAGTTGACAAACCAGGATGAAATGACATTATCAGCAAGAGTTACCACGTATTTAGAGTATCTAAGGTAAAAAAAGTGTCAACATTTTCAACTCATCAACAACTTTTCGCCGAATACGATTGGGTGTTTATACAAGCTAGCTCTCTTTAAGGGGTACATTGATATTTCGCAAAAGATTTCTTAATTTACGTAACTTCAAGAAACATACCAGAGAGAAATTCTAACAGTGGTATGACAACTTGAGGCGTTGGCGAAAGTTTAGTAAACTTTTCCAGATATGTTGGGAGCAGTCTAAGGAACGAAAATTCAGAAATTATGGCTCAAAAAATCTTGTATTTGTGAAGGAGTATCTCGCATAACAAGAGACGTTACATTTAGGCTGCAGTTTGTTGAAATACATTTCTGTAAATTCACTGAGTGCATTATCAAGGCATGATTTCAAATATCTCCAAAGCAATAAACTTATAAAATGCTGCAATTACTTAAATCAACTTCATTCTTTACAAAGTGCTAATGGACATAAAAAAGTCTCAAATTCCAGACTATCTTAAGTAGCCTTACCTTGCCATAACTGGCAAGGCATTTCTAACATACATATGGTGAGACAGGATACGCATAACGTCGCGGAATGAGCAACCAAACCAATTTCCAAAGTACGCATCAGACAAAACTAGACGAAATATACAACAACGTTTAAGCGAGAACAGACAACCGCTGAAAATAAAGTCAAGCAGGTTCTTACCTGTTCATTTTGACCAATAAAAATGTGGTACGTACACAGCTCTGTTAATACCTTCACATGTTACAATAAAATATCCAATTAAATTATTAGTATGATATGATATAATTATGGTATAAATTCGTTATGGTATGGTATGGTGTGATATAATTATGGTATGATATGGTTATCGTATGGTAATGATTTTATTGGTCATGGTATGGTATGGTGTGATATAATTTTGGAATTATATGGTTATCGTATGGTATGATTTGGTTATGGTTAGTTATGGTATGATATGATTATATGATATGATTATATGATATGATTATATGATATGATTATATGATATGTTGTGGTATGGTTATGGTATGGTATGGTTTTGGTATAGTTATGGTAAGATATTATGATAGATGCAAAAAACTTAATGATAAGAACCGTACTGGAAAAATTCGCACATAATGAGGAACACGAAATAATCCAGGAAGAAAATCATAATTTCAAACCTAAATGCAAAGTAAAATTTTTAGTTCATGATTTTGGTGTGAAAAGTGCAAAACTTTACTTCCCTTACTATTTTAGATAACACTGTACATATTGAACGTAAGTAGTGCTTTCAAAAATCTATCAAGTTTTTATCTTGCAGTGCCTCTGGAAAGTTTCTCAGAACAACATACAACAC